GCCTACAGAGCGACCTGAAAATTAGAAGTACTCGCATTTGCCTGGACCACCCGTCTAATGGGTTTTCTTGCCAGTGGAGAGGGAAACTGTAGAAAGAAAAGGTGTTTTAAAGTGGTTTTTGTGTACGACAAAATACATCATGTTTTTTTCAGAAAAAGTGAGTTTAAAAACCCGAAAATTTTCTCTTTTTTGCGACAGTGTATGGACCCTGCATGGCAATATTGCTGCATGACTTAAGCCACGGGAAATTGGTTTCGTTTATCTAGTATGCCAGCCGCCCTCGTATTATCGGTGCTTAGTTCGGCTTCGAAAAATTGGAAATAAAAAGATGCTTCAAAAGTTTTATCGTTTCAGGTTAAATTTGAACCGTTTAATGACATTTTTTTCAATCGCTCTTAAGCCGCATATATTGATCCCTCTTCTAATCTTATGTATATACATATTGTGCTCGCTTTTTATTACAATAGCCTTCTGTTATATAAATCACATATATTAATATGTGAATATAATTTTATAATATATATAATCGATAACATGCAAATATTGAATATAATTTAAAGTAGGGGAGACTGGGACTAAATGTTAAATTTTGCAAAAATGTTTTTTTAGTCAATAAATCCGCTTAGATGGAAATATATATAGATCAATATTGTAGGGCAACTTATCTTCAACAACTTTTAATAAAAGAGTTTCTGATATTTTCGCGTAAAATTCATGTTTTGTCCTTTTTTCAAAATTTTGTTTTTTTTACATTTAGCCCCATGCTGGTGCTAAATGTTAAATTCTATTTCTAGCCTACTAAAACAACTTTCTGATAGGTGTTAAGAGTAGTAGATTAGTAAAGTATGCGTAAAACAGGTAATTTAGTTAATAAAACAACTGTGTTTATTTAACAATAGCTTTAGAACATTTATAGAGTTAATAAATTAAAATTTCAAAATAAAAAAATTATGGGTTTATTTCACGTGAGCGATCTTGTTTTTTGACCGCGTAGTTGCCTAATGTAAAATAAATCATTTTTGAACATATAAACCCGAAACAGACGAAACAAGTTGTAAATCCAGATGTTCATTACATGAACATTTTGCTTCCTCTTTACGATCAGAAAAAAAAATTTGCTTCCTCGTGGAGGAAACATTAACGATAAATATATTTCATTTTTAATACAATTTAACATTTATAAAATAAAGTGCATTCGTCTTAATATAAAGAATAAAATTTTCACACTAAAAAAAAAGTTTTACTTTCAGCCTCTTTTTGAGGCTGAATTTAAGGTGTAAACGGAGTCAGCCCCGTTAAACAAGGACAGACTTATGTGAAATACATGGGCTGAATTTAAGGTGTAAACGGAGTCAGACTTTTTTTTCCTGTGTTCTTATACAGTAATATGAATCTAAATAAACAAAAAAATTTTTAGTAAAAAAGTGAATTTTTCAAATTTGATTGTAATTAATTCTATAATTTTCAATAGAATATATACTTTATATACATCAATCGATTCGTCTTGATGCAAAGAATAAGATTTTTGATTTATTTTTCAATAAATAATAACATTTTATTGTACAGGAACATGATTTTTAAGAAAAAATGAATTTTTATTAATAGTGTAAATTTTTTGTCTATAATTAATTTTAATTCTATAAATTTAAATACAATATATACTTTATATATACCAATCGATCCGTATTGGTGAAAAGAATAAGATTTTAGAAATAAATGAGTAAGATTTTCTTATACGGCAACATAATTTTGCGGAAAGAACTCATTTTTTGATAAAAATGCGAATTTTTCAGCTTTAATTGTGATTAACTCTGTAAATTCTCATACAATTTATACTTTTTATATACCAATCGATTCGTTTTGATGCAAAGAATAAGATTTTATTATATATTAACTTCAATAACCAACTTAGAAAAATTTTTTTAAAAAAAAAAATTTTTTAGAAAAAAGTCAAAAAAAATTTTTTTTCTGAGAATTTTTTTAAGTCTATCAATCCATTTCGAGATATTTTTATGATAAATACCTGGTAAATTTTAGCCAAATTCGTTAAAACCTCTTCGAGTTATCGTGTTCACAAAAATCGGGATCCACACACACACATCTATACATACATCCGGACAATTATTCAGGGGCTTAAATAACATAGTCCTATATAGAAGAAAATTTGTTAAAAGGATTTTTAAAAATTTTGTAAATTAAACGACTACAAAGCTTTCTCACGAGGAAGCAAAATGTAAAAAAAAACATGAAAACAATACCTATTATTTAACATTTAGTCCCAAGGTGCGTTTTTGGCTTTGACAACAACAAAATCTGACTAAAAATATTCAGCAAATACCTTTAGGTATTTCAGGGGACCCAAATAGGCTAAAATACTTATTGTGATGAGAATAAATTCAAAAAATATACTTAAAATTTGAAATTTTCTTTGACGTAAAAATTTACAAATGTAGGGTCAAAATACACTTTACATTATGAACACGACAAAAACAAACAGAATGTCACATGACTATGGACATTTATTTAGAGTGATAAGACAATAATCAAAACTGCAATGCTCTAACTATTTCCGTTCGAAAGATAATGAATTTTAACTGTTTGACTGTTTTCTTTTAGCCCTAGTCTCCCCTATTATTTTTTAGGGGTAAAAAATTGTATTAAATAATAAATAATTTAGTAGTTGATAAAAACTTTTATATTTATATAAATATTCAATAAATTTCAATTATGATTTTTTTCGAAAATATAAATAGTACCTAATTGAAAAAATAATTTTAAATAAAATTGTAAATGATATTATCGAGTTATTTTGCTCTTGCTTTTTAACGAAAACATTTATTTATTGCCATCTTTTTTTATTTTAATGAATGGAGACAAATCTATTAATTCAAATATCGAATGCGGTTTATATTTTAAATCTCTTTCAATAACGCTTTCGATTAAAAGCGGACAGTATAACGTGGATTCTCAATTTAACGCTGAATTTGTGTCAAAAGGATACTCACAACAAAATTGACATTCAAGAGAAAATAATATTCAATAGAAAGAAAACTTTCTCACACTTTTCCAATGATTTAATGTAAAAACAAAATAATAGGCAGAGATTATTATTTTTGAAAACTAATGAAAAAGAATTTATAATGCAATTTTTTTTGTTACTGAAAAATTAATATACAATTATTATTTTCCAAAAATAGCTAATAAACAAAAATTATAAATTATTTAAAAAAAAGACGAAGATAATTTTAAAAAATTTTAATTAACGGAAAAAAAATATTTATTTCAATTTTTATCGAAATTTTTTTTCCTTTGAAAACTGACCACAATTAAAATGAACAATAGTTGTACAATGTACAAAATTTCATGGATTACAAAAAGTAAAGAATCTCTGTTGAAAAGAGAATTATATTAGAATGGGAAACGAATTTTTAAATTCAGGTCAAGTGGGATTCTGTAAAGAGAAAAAATTTTAATAAGAACCTAGTAAAATTGACATTTTTCTGTCGTTACAATTAGAGAAAATTTATTACAAACTGTTGAAATTGGAAATTTTTTTTTTTGCTTTACAAAAACTAAAGCAGTAAAAACTTTTTGATGTTAATTTGGTTGCGATAATAAACATTGACACCTCTGGGAATTATGTCAAGTGCACTTTCCTTTTTTTACGACTTCACGCATTAGAGGAAAAAAATATGAACAGGATTTTGTAAAAAAATGCGAAGGTAAAAGGAGACCGAAAAAATGCTGAGGTGCTTTGGGGTTAGTTACATTTACACCAATACACATGTGTTTTTATACTATTTGCGTTCTTTTGGAGCTTTTGCCTTGCCCTCCTCCCTCCCCCTTCTCTTTCTTCATCATGCAATTTTCGTTTTCCCATGTAAAAGTTTTTTACAAGGTTTTCATCTCCGACCCTCTTCTTGAAGGAACTTAGAGATACCAAAACGTACTTCCCTTTCATTCGAGGCACAGGCCAATGCCCAAGAGAGTCTTTCTTTCGATCTTCAACAGAATATGGAAGCTACCGTTATGTCTGAGTAGAATCCCATCCCTCCCCCACACCTCTTTTTTCCCTGTTCGTATATGTCGAAAAAATCGAAGAGCATACAGCGAAACTCAAATCCATAATTCATCTGAATTGTTCCGTCTGGACCAGTCTCGTTTTCAATATCAGAGTTTTCACATTTCCCTTTATCAAAATTTAAAACCATGTAAAGTACAAAATATTTTCACTCAATAGATATGATTTTTGAACAAAAATTATATTCGAGTCATCGCAAAATACATTTTGTAAAAGTTTTGGATTAATATTCGTTGAAGATTATTAATTTAAATTAATTAACTGATTTGATTTGGAAAAAATAATTTAAGATTTAAATAAATTTTAAATAGATGATTGAAAGAGTATTTCAATTTATTTATGAAATGATTCAAATCTGTGTAGGCATTGCGAATTTTCTATTTACGATTATTTTCTTACTTTTTTTTGGAAAAGCATCTGTATTAATTGAATTTCCAGAACTGCAGCATATACTATTTGGTTTCCTGTTGCGCGCCAGTTAGTGGAAAACATGAACAAATTAATTTTCGCAAAAAGCTTTTTATTTTTATTGTTCACAGTCATTTAAAACTCCTGACAATAAAGTTAATGAAAAAAAGTAATAACAATATATGAATTTAGTCGAATGAAAATTAATTTTTTGCAAATGAAATTTGGACAATAGTTTTTTATTAAGTTTATTTCGCGAACAGAATTTATATTACTCTTTTGAGGATATAAAATAAATTTCACTATTTGTATAATTAAACAATTTAGAATTTAGTATAATCTACCTTATGGTGTTATTAAAGTTTAATTGCGGTTTTTACGACTGAATCGTTTGAATATTATTCGTATGATTAATACAATTGTCGTTTATATTTTAATAATAATAGAAAATAAACAATATTATATATATATATATATATTATGCGATATTCTTGTCAAAAAGAGCTTTTAATTAAGATTTCTCAACATTGATAATTTCACGTCTCGTCGTTGGGAATATTTGAAGGGTCTGCGAAGAGTCGTAGACTGTCTGCATACGAAAAATTTTAATTAAGAGAAATATACCTTAATTAGAAGATAAAGATCGATATAATGTAGAATTAAAGGAAGCAGGAGTTCTTTCGCTTGAGGCGACTTTTTACATATATAAACCTATTTTAAAAAGAAGATAATTCCTGTGCATGAATAAGAAAAAGAAGATGAAGAAGAAGCAAATGCCAATGGGCGCTGTCGAATTTTTTCACTCGTCTTTTTCCATGTCGATGATCCGGAACGATTTTCACGCCCTAGTCGTCCAAAGACTGCAATTAACACTGATAACGATCAGTTATAAATGCGTTTATAATATGCCCCTCACGCTCACGATGCTCGTGCTTGGCATTTGCGTGGAACGTTGGAAATTACACAGGTGGTCGTTGCGCCTCTCTCTCTCTCTCTCTCTTCATTCCAAAGTTTCGAATGTCATGCGATACTCCTAACGAGAGAGGGAGGATGCCCCGCGGTCCAAATTTTACATAATATCCCTGACCACGTATGTAATGGCACGCTGAAATGTGCATTTCACGTAAAATGCATATCGGCTGATCGTTCCTGCTTTTGTAATCGAGCTTTACCTATACGTGATGGACGTACGATGCGATATACGAAACAACAGTGATCCATTGGGAAATTGCGTGATTTTAGATGATTAGTCATGTCCTATCAAAATTAGTTCACTTTTAGAATACGTAAAACATGTTCATTTAAACCAGATGGTTATTGTTTCCGATGAAAAATATTTATTTTTGACAAAATTTCAGTTGAAAAAGTATTAAACTTACAAATAAAAGAGAAATCTTTATTAATTAGTTCAATATTTTTTTTTCTTTTAAGTTTATTGAATATTGGAAGCAATTCCCTAAAAATTATTCACTCGAATATTTTGCATCCCAATAAGTATGAAGACTAATAATTATATCAATATACCTGTAAGTATGTACTCTAGAAGTATAATAGTTAGAAAGCTGGATTATAGGAAAACTGTTACTAAATATGCTCAAAAGAGGCTTAATCTTTTTGAGTATGATCCAAAGAAGGTTGTTCCTTAAAGGCATACCGAGCTTAATCTGCTCGGTATGGTTCTAAAAAAACGCTTTCTAGATAGGTGTCAGTTCTTAGATGTTTCATTCCAAGAGGCACCTAAACCTAAACTACCTAAAGACGATAGCTAGTCATAGAGCCTGGTTACACCGTAGCAGGTCAAGTAGGAAAGGGTAAATTAAGCTGGAGAAACAGAGGAATAGGTACCTCTTTACTGCATCCTAAACAAGGCGATTCCTAAAAATTTATACATACAGAAGAGGCGTCTTCTGAACAGTAACACCAGAAAGTTTACTTAAAGAATGTTTCAAAATAGTAATTTCAGAAATATAATGTCGTTATTGATGCTAATAAAATTCACCTCCATTCAAATGCTAAAATTAATTCAAAAATAAAAATAATAATAAATCATTGAAAAATAAATATAATGCAAAGAGAAACTTCTTTTCTTTTTCTCTAACAATTAAAAGTCCTGATCTCAAATTTTTCATAAAGTCATCTGCACACAGAACACTACCATTACGTGAAAAAATTTCCTAGGCTAAAAGTGTTTCTTCCACCTAGCAGAAAAATTCCTGTCGACAAAAAAATTCTTTTAGTTATTGGCTAGCTCTGGGAAGGGTGAATTTGTGCCAATATTGACTCAATGAACGTACGTAAAGAATGTGATTCCGCAGTAGAATCGTTCTCGAACGTTAGAACGAAAGCGAAACGAAAAGAAGCGGTTCCAGCATACCCTAATTTTCAACAGTCCTCTCCCCCAATTTTTCGAGCGTGATGCAAGCGAAGGGTGATTCTAAGGATTTTATATTTGGTAGATTCGTGCGAATGGGGTCGTGTCGTTGGGCGTGAGGTTGCCTTTGGGGAGTGGGTGGCAAGAAAGTGAGTGAGAGAGAGGGAGGTTCTTCGAGAGCACTCTGTGCTTTCAAAAGCGAGAGAGCTAGTTTAGTCAACTTTTTTCCTCTACGAATTGTATTGTCGATAAAATTGATTTTCGAAAATAACTTTCGTCAAATATAGAAACTTTTAAAAATTGCAAAATCTTGTTTATGAAAGAAACTTTAAGCAAATAAAGAAATATAATGATATTTTTATTTTAAGAGATTAAAGCCATATCTTTTAATAGAGGTTTTTGGTTAAAAATAATAATTGTTGAAATTAAATTAATTGGAATTATTCAACTTCCGTTAATTTTTGCCACGAGGTTGACACACTGGGTCATTTTTACCCAAAATTTATCTGGATGTTTTTGACTCATAATTTGTGTCCTTGTAGATATTAAGCAAACATATGTATATGTATTTAAAGCTAGGGACCTTAGCTAACTACTTATGAAGAAACTAAATTGATTCCATTGACTAGAAAAATTTTATTAAAAATTCAATAAAGTGGGCATTTTTCTAACAAAGAAAATTTTGGTTCGGTTGTGGGCACTCTTGAAAAATCAAATAAAAATGCAAAAAGATTAACTAAGTAACCATTCATTAACTACGTACACCACAATCATCCTTACGTAAGGATGATTTTATCTAATTTTGACATTACTTCCTCCCCATGTAAGGACATATAAGATTTCTAACACTGAACCTCAGCAGCACAGTTCTTCTTCTTCTTCTTAAATGACTTGTGGCCTTGCCGAGTGTCAGAACTATTAACGTAAGAAGAATGAGAAATATGTTAAGATTAGTTATTGTTTTGTGAAATCCTTGGTTAAAACTTGTAGATAGGTCTCTCCAGCAAGCAAGCGGTGGGAACCGTATTTATATGTAGAACTGGTTCCAGTGATCCACAGAGGTCGTTCAGACCAGCGGGTAAAGTCAATTATTGGGATAGTTAAAATAAGGGATTGGATGAATATTTTGGCTGTAAGTTAAATAATTAAATAAAATGATGATTAAATGTGAAAAATTTTCCCAGCTCTCTGACCACTTGCTCATTGGGTGAGAAAACGAGCTCGTCGACGTCTGCCGAGTTGGGAACTGAATTAGGAAATTTACTGTGCGAAAATCTCATAAAGTCATGTCTTGCTGGTGCATAACTTGGGCAATCATTTAATAAATGAGTAAGGGAACGACGTTCTTCGCCACAATCGCAGCGTGCCGCTCCAATCCAATTTATTCTTATCAAATGGTCACTCGTTAGAGTGTGACCTGTTCTCAATCTAGTGACCACGTTTATCCAACTCCTCGGAAGGTTGAGATCCAGAAACCAGGGCTTGGCTGCTTTAAAGGATACTCTTGAGAAGTATCTGTGCTCCGTCAGGTCCCTCTCTGAGTATGGCCAGAGATGGGAAAGCCATGCTTTCCTGTCCGGAGCAAAGACACTCATTCTCAGGTCATCGCGTGGGAGTTTAAAATGCATTCTGTTATTATTATTTGAGATGTTAATTTCACGGCAAATTGCATCGATATATTCATTGCCCAAAATGCTATTATGTGATGGGATCCAGATAAATTTAAAAGAGGGAAGAGTGTTAGGATCGGAATTTGTATATAATAATTCCAATATTCTGTATATGATATATGGGTTGTTTTTATATAGTAGACAGTTCCTGAGTCTCTGGACGGAGGACAATGAGTCTGTGATTATAAGAGTACGTGATATGTCGTGTTCAATCGCGTATGTGATTGCTGTGTAGATGGCATAGAGTTCAGCTGTTAGAATCGTGATGTATGGTTGGAGAGGAGTACATTGTGTGTAGTTTGAAACCTCGTCATAGAAAGCCGCTGTAGACAATCCATTTGCAGGGTTTAAAGACGCATCCGTGTATATAGGACAGTAGCCATCGAACTCAGACGATAGGATCTCTCTAAAGAATATCTCAGGTGTATTATGGTCTTTGAGGAGTATGCCGTTAGAGATATCGCACACAGGAGAGAATGATAAGACCTCCCAGGGCCAGTCAAAATAAGCAGGTCTAACGGATCTAAAACCCATGTCCAACAAAGGAACCATCTGTATATAAGTTGGAACGAAAAGTATTTTGTTGTATGCTTTTGATTGTGATGGAATTTTTAGTTTCCTGTTAAGGGTATGCAAAAGGGGATTTAGCAAGTTGTCAGACCACGAATAATTACGAAGGATAAACGAGTTCGTCAGGAATGTTCTACGAAGTGTTAGAGGGGGCTCGCCTGCCTCCGACAGAAGAACCGGGATAGATGTTGATTTCATACAACCCAGTGCCATTCTGAGGGCTGCAGACTGCACCCTATCCAGGCATTTTAGGGAGGTCATAGCAGAATTAGCGAAAAGTGGAGAACCCCAATCTAGAATAGCTCTTATTAAATTCCTATAAACTGTCAAGGCCAGCATGGGAGAAATGCCCCATGTGGCCCTTGTTATAATCCTGAGAATACCCAGTGCCTTCGTTGCTTTATTAGCTATCATCTTTATATGCGGTGTCCATTTTAGTTTCCGGTCCAAAAGTATGCCCAGGTGTTTCATTGTAGGATCACATATGATCGAAGTGGAACCTAGCCTTAATGCGAAGTCTTCATAGGATGTTCGAGATTTTGTGAAGATGCAGCAAACCGTTTTTTGCGGGGCGACGTCCATTCCCAGTGTTTCAAGCCAAGCAGACAGACTCTCCAGAGCCGCGGAAACATCGGTGGAAAGATTGGCGACAGAAGAGAATTTTACATAAAGTAGAAGGTCATCAGCGTACATGACAGCCTTCATGTTAGGTGGAAGATATTGTTCCAAATCTCTCAGATACAAGTTAAATAGAAGGGGTGACAGGACTCCACCCTGAGGGACTCCAACACCACAGACTTTTGAATCTGATCCGTCAGCATTAAAAGAAACGTACCTTTTTCTCGTCATGTGATTGATGAAGTTTACCATACAGGGGTGGAAATTTAAATCCCTAAGCATTGTATTTAAAATAAGGGGGCGAACGTTATTAAAAGCACCCTTAATATCGATAGAAACTGCCAGAGTATGCTCTGAATCAGCAAAGCCGATCAGGGTATCAGTGACAAAAGTTGCAACACAATCAACCGCTGATCTTTGCTTTCTGAATCCAAACTGGTAGGAAGGAATCAAGCCCCGACTCTCCACATCGTGTTCCAGGCGTCCTTGTATTAGTTTTTCAAAAACTTTTGATAGAACCGAGGTGAGAGCAATGGGCCGAAACCCCTTTCCCCCGGGTTTCGGTAGAGCTATAACTCTGGTGTATAACCACGAAGATGGAAAAGAGGAATGAGCAGCACAGTTACTACACTGAAAAACTGTTGGTAGAGCAGTTCCGCTATTGACTGTTGTGCAGCGCTACTTAACTTTAAACTCACAGCTCTATCAAAATTAGGCGAGTTGCTCTCCTAAACTTGACTACCAATGGCGTTGGCGAGCGGCTGCTTGACAAAAAGGTCAGCAGCTCTATCAAAAAGGAGAGTTGCTCGCCCAAAAAGGAGAGTAACTCGCCCAAAAATAAAGTGAGCTGTGCGTTTCTTTTTAACGCAGCAGTTCACCGCATTGGGCGAACAGCTCTCCTAACAGTTTTTCAGTGTAGCTACGAACGACGCATAAAAATCAAAGTCTTGTTATATTAATTTCCGTGCTAAACTACGAAACTTTTAAAATTCATAAAACACTATTAAATGTTGTAAGGAATTACTTATGATTATATCGACTACGATATTTCACGATTTGTCAAGAATAAGAGTGGTGTCCACAACCGAATCAATTTAGGTGTTCACAACCAAACTTTACCATCATTTTGAAACATCATGAAAAAAAATTTGCTTGTAAACATGGTTGTGATACTTGGTATTGGAGCACAAAATATAACATATTTACTGTGTAAATACGCATTGAACTTATCATTTTAATTAATTCACTTTGATTTGTTGAATATTTAACAATGTTCAAAAATACATTTTTGTTATATTCAACGTGTCGAAAAATTAATTTATATATAGTAAAAAGCACAGTTGTCTAATCACTTTTGTATTTGCATCGATAACTACGTTTGGTCATAACACACACGTGGCATTTGTCAGATTAGAAAAATCTCATTTCTGTCAAAAGTTCTGCGGGGGTGTCCACAACCGGACCATGCCCACAACCGAACCTTTTCCCCTACATTGCGTACACAGGGGTGACACTGCTGCAGTTCCCATAAGAATAAACTAACCTGAGAGTTGACCGTCGCCACTGGTGGCGCTGGCTGGACATTGGACCGATATTGAGTGAAATGCATGGGATTGCAAAGAAAAACTTAATTTACAATCATTAATATTAATTTGATGGTATTCATTTGTACATAATATTGATTCAGTAACTTTTTAGCATATTTTATAATATCAAAAACTTAGAAAAAGTGTTCAATATTTTATTTATAATGAAAATTGTGCAACAATTAATGGCGCGAAATTCAAATTAATAATATTATAATTATTTTCGGTTATTTCAATTATTGTTATTAGCTATTGTTCAATAATATTTTACCAGTATAAATAGAAATATTTTAGATAATTTATTTATTATAATATTATTTGGTATTTAATTTGAATTTCGCGCCATTAATTGTTGTACAATTTTCATTATAAATAAAATATTGAACACTTTTTCTAAGTTTTTGATATTATAAAATATGCTAAAAAGTTACTGAATCAATATTATGTACAAATAAATACCATCAAATTAATATTAATGATTGTAAACTAAATTTTTCTCTGCAATCCCATGCATTTCACTCAATCTCGGTCCAATGTCCAGCCAGCGCCACCGGTGGCGACGGTCAACTCTCAGGTTAGTTTCAACTCAAGAGTGTCACCCAGGGATGGGTTTTGACGCATCACTCGAGGTTTTATACGTATAATACATTTTCGACGTATTATACGTATAAAACTGTATAAAACTAGGTAAAATACATAATCATGATGGCAGACTTATTTTGACATATTTACCCTCTTTACCATAACCTCAAATGTTTGTTATTTATTATTTATATTCCCATTATTCCTATATTTAAATTTAAAACAAAATTTTAATTGATAAAAAAAGTTTTGCACTACTATGACACTAGTGAATATACGTTATGTTGTATGCTTATATATACATCATATACATTATATATTACTGTGACGGCTATGATTAAATTTCTAAATAAAAGAAATTAAATATGTAAAGATTTTAATTAATAAACATTTTATTTTACTATTAACAAAACGATAAAAATTTTTTTAATTTAAAAACAAAGAAATTTTAAAATACCACCTTTCAGTTACTGAGTTACGTCATCACATGTAATATACATAATGTAGAAAACCTAGGACGTAATATACGTAGTATTATACATGTATAAAACCACGTATTATTCATCATGTATTATACGCACCCATCCCTGGTGTCACCCCCGTGATTGCGTATAACAAGTGTGAACTAGCGGCCTTTTTGAAACGAGCGCTAAGTTTTCGTAACGAGTCGTAGGTGAGGGCGCACTCACCGGAGACGAGTTACGAAAAAGTAGCGCGAGTTCCAAAATGCCGCCACACGTGTTGCGCACTATACTTTTCATAACAAAATCATAAAAAGGCGTTGACACTGAAAAAAAATATTTAATTGAAAAGAATGTTGAGAAACGCGTACATAAGATTCGGAACACAGATCGACTGTCAAGCGTACGTTACTAGTTGATTTTTCGAGATTTCAAAGAATCGCATTTTATAATACCCCAAGCCCCCCGAAACCTAGTCGTATACTTCGACGTATTAATAAAAATAATATCATTAAAGAATAAAAACAGAAGTTTTCACACGAGCGATGGCAAAAAGGAGGTTAGAAACTCTATGTATTTGACACATGCTGTGTTGCAGCTGTAAGACACGGTAAAAGTAGGTAACTGAACGAAGACATAATCACGCCTCTACTGGACGGAATTGCAACTACTCGAGCGTTACGAAAATACTCGAACAAGCACAAACAAAGCTCTTTTTTGAACTGAACTGTCATTCGCAGTATTTTCGTAACTACGTACTAAAAAGAATCACTTTACTTTGGCCTACGGAGAGACAAATAACGCCATTTTTATGATTGCGTTATGAAAGCATTATATTTCAACTAATGGTAACTAAATGGAGTTTTAATTAATGAATGATTAATTGTTATTATTACGAAAAACAATTTCGTTTGACTAATGTTCGAAATAAGTTTGAATGGCATATCTAATTAAAGGGAAAGTGATACCTATCGTTTCTTTTGACGCGATGAAAAGACTTGAAACAAAAACATGTGGAGAGAGCTCGATCTATGCGTGCCCAAGGGCTGTTAACGCTCCTGCGCTTGTATATCAATGTACATCGGCGAAGATTCTTGGGTGAGCGTGAGGGAAAATGTAATTCAAGGCTAATTCCAATTTCGAGTGGTGATTTCGCTGCGCACAATTTGTGTTGAGGAAGAAGAACGAAAGTACGATGCAGTCCATAACCATTGGTCAATGGTTACACGGAAAATAGCGTATATTGCACGCACACTACCATGCGTGATTTGCTTGGAATCCATCCTATTTTCGCATGGTGTTGTACCCAGTAAAGAAAATTCGATACACGGACCGCGGAGTTTATATACGAACTCGGTAGCTCGTATGAGAAATATGAGAAATCTCTTATACGAGCCTTTTCCGTAATGAGAAGTGTATAGATGCTTGTATACGAGGTGACTTTTAAAGCATTTTTATTAATGTAACACTATTTTAAAGTAAATGTAGATAAATAATTGAAATGAATTTTCTCATCTAAAACAAAGCTAAATTCATAAGGGAAATGAAGTTTTAAGAAAAAAAGAATAATTTTGTTCAAAAAATTTATTCACACTGAAAAAAGGTTAGAATTTGATAATTCCTTGTTACTCTTACTTACCGACATTAGATATTTTAAGGATGCAGTAAGCACGATTTTGTATTAGCGGTAGAATAAATAAGTTTTTCTTCATTACTAATTAATAATATGTTATTATTTATTTATTATATAAATGTTCTAATATAAAATATTTAAATTTAATACAAAATCGTGCTTACCGCATCCGAGAAATATCTAATGTCGGTAAGTAAGAGTGACAAGGAATTATCAAATTCTAACCTTTTTTCAGTGTGAATAAATTTTTTGAACAAAATTATTCTTTTTTTTTTTAAACTTCATTTCCTTTATGAATTTAGCTTTGTTTTAGATGAGAAAATTCATTTCTATTATCTACATTTACTTTAAAATAGTGTTACATTAATAAAAATGCTTTAAAAGTCACCTCGTATACAAGCATCTATACACTTCTAATTACGGAAAAAGCTCGTATGAGAGATTTCTCATATTTCTCATACGAGCTACCGAACTCGTATACGAACTCCGCGGTCCGTGTATCGAATTTTTTTTACTGGGTAGTAAAAGCCATGGGTCATGTGGCTTTCGCTAAGGCACCATGCGAAAATAGGATGGATTCCAAGCAAATCACGCATAGTAGTGTGCGTAAATAAACCCAACGTGCGTGCAATATACACAACAGTTCCCGTGCAGAAATTAAAATGTGGGCCTGATAGGGTACACAGAAAAAAATGCGAATGGTAAAAACAACCACATTTGTGTAATTAGAAAAAAAGTAGTTAAAACTACCATATTCAGCAGCATTTTAACTACACTTCCTCAGTTAGTGGAACCAAAATGCAGTAGTTGGTTTTATGTAGTTAAAATAACTACTTTACGTAGTTGAAATAACTAACAGATGCTTGTAAATGGCTCAACTATAGTGTAGTAGTAAAAACTATTGTTAAAAATAGTTAATTTTACTATTGTGGTAGCAAAAATAACTATTTTGTATAAGTTGCAAACAAA